TATATATATATATGTATGTACCGACTGTAGGTACTATCAATTACGCCGCGTTCGAGTGGGTGTGTGAATCAAGTCTCGTCGGTAAAATTCGGAAGTATGTATGTCGATATAGTGAGACGATGCGTGAGGCCGCAGTAATTGGTGGGTCTAACGCATCACTCCTGCATTAGCCCGTGCGCGAAGCAGAGCTCGAGAGTACCTCCTGTTTTCCGGCTGTAATCGGAGTAACCGATTCCAAGGAAAGAGAAAGAGAGAAAAGAACCCAGTCACCAAGGGACCTGTGCTAGCTATCCCCAACCTCGTGCCATGGTCGCGCTCAAGGACCACTACCGCTGATCCCCACTGCAAGGACCCTTGCTGGACGATAGCCAGAACTTAGCCAGTGACAAGGTCACCATTGCCTACGGTTGTCCAGAGATTGGGACGAGGATGGTAAACCCCGAGGTAAAGTAGCGTGTAGTGTTATCGCAAAAGATTGTGCGTGGAAGTGTGCGTGTGTGTGTGTCAGCCGTGTATATCCAGGATGAGCCGCGGGCGCTGGTCCCTGGGATCAAGAATCGAAGAGATCGGTAGATCGAGAAAGAAAAAAAAAAGAAGCGTGATCGTCGCGTATTGCGCCGTGTAAGTAGCGTCGGATCGCGCCAAAATTTCCGGGCGTAGACGCCCTCGTATATGTTCTGATATTGAATAAAGTGATTTTCTTGAGTAATTAAATTTTGCCTCTTTACCTATTGCATGCCATTTGCCGGACAGCGTCATTCTTTTCAGGTCGCGTAAATCGTTTCTCCTTTGGAGAGCAGCCTGCTTCCCGACGGGCTACCTCCTGCGGGACCTCCTCTGGGAAAAGATTCCAAGAGTCAAGCTGTGAGCGGCGAAATCGTGGGAACATAAGTTCGCGTTTCAGGTGTATAGTGGTCATCGACGGGTTCGTGAACGTGTCTTTGTGACACCCTAAGTGTCTCAGGGCGAGAAAACGCAACGTTACATACGTAACAAAAAATGATACTGACAAAGCATTCATTTATATTTACTTCCAGAAATATTAAAAAATAAATTGCTAATAAAGGAATGCAAACTTTTAATTCACGATTTTTGGTACTGATATTGGAAATGTATACCGAAGCCTTTGGGTTTTAAATGATGCAGAAAATAGGAAAACATACTTATAGTTCATACTATTTTTTATTCATACAGCTAAAAACCAACTCGATAAGCTTGGAAAAAGTTTCATGAAAAAAAATCCTTAAAAAAATGAATAAAATCCTCAAAAGGTGTTTTGGAGAGGTACCCGGGTTCCCGCTTTAGACCGTTAAGGCTGCTATTATTAATTTTCTTCTAAGATGTTCTAGTCATGTTCTTTCTTAAAAGCGTACTACGAATTAAGAATTGATAAAGGCAAATGCAGATTTTAATCGTTTTATTTACATGAAACTTTCATTATGTACTTCTGAATAAAAAATATCTGTCATTAAACTAATTTAAAAAAACAAAAAAACATGAAATATGTTCAATTTATTAATAATTCAATCACACTATCTAACAGGTACTACGGAGGCAATGAATACATTGATCACATTGAATTATTAGCCCAAAAAAGATGCTTAGAAGCTTTTCATCTATCTCCTGATTGTTGGGGTTGCAACGTTCAACCGTATTCTGGAAGTCCAGCAAACTTAGCAGTTTTCACAGCCTTACTAGAACCACATGGTAGAATAATGGGCCTTGACCTTCCTGATGGAGGGCATTTAACTCATGGTAAGTAGCAAAAAATAATTTTTTTTTCTGTATAAGAAGAGTGTGCATTTAATAAGTATTATTAAAATTATCAGGATTATCATTATAATAATAATAATAATTATTATTATTATGTTATTAACAGAAAAATTCTTCGAGTTATTAATAACCTTTAAGTAATAAAGAATTTATATATAGACATTTTTGCTTAAATCACAAATTATGAACTCCATCAAAGCTTCTGTCACTAGCTCAATTTACTGTAAAGGTCATAACTGTGTTGTATCACACATAAGAGAAATTAAGTAGCTTTTGAAAAATTATGATATCGATGTCCTTTCCGTATGTGAATCCTAGCTCACCCCATCACGAGACTTTTCAATGAACGTGATTGTCTCGTACACACAGTTTTAGAATGATTGTGGCTTGACATCCTTTAGTTTAAGGTTGTAGATTATTTAAAGATATTAAGAGTAAATAAAAAATTTTTTTTATAGATATAAGGTCGAGGATCTCACATCGGCTTTTGTTGGTATCAGTGTATGGGTATCCCAAGAGAGATGTCCTATCCAGATTTTTTTTATTACTTTCAGTAGACACTCCGCCCGCTATTTTAGGTTGATGATGATAGGTAATTTAAAAACTGATACGTCAGCTGATAGTTATAAACATCGCACTTACAAGGACTTTTATTTGATTATTCGATGATGCTCGTTTTGCTTACAGTTACGCATGATAATAAAATTATGCGTACGGGATTGACTATACAGCTATTGACTTATTAGATAGAGTGTCCTCTACTGGTCCATACCATATACTTTTTATAGATGGTCATGATTTTATGCATGCAAGTTTAAAATTTAAAGTAGCAGGTCTCAGTTGCAATTACGGTTGCGAAATTTTGGGGACTTTTTATTTTTTCGGCTGATTGCAATGCGGAGATACAACGTAAAAATCATACATTGTACATAAGTCATCGATGTAAATGTGGACATGATGACATTGAGAAAGATAGCCATTAGCGTCTTGGAGATATGTTCGTAACACTAACAGTCGTGTTTGCCGATCACGAAAAACGCCTCCCTCTTGGTTTAACGATGCCTTAAGACGACGCTTCCATAACTAGTTATATAAGAGTGCTCCACAGTGGGGCAGAGTTCTAAAAAGCTGGCCAAAATTAAAAAAAAATTCTTTTCTCGATAGGTTCTTTTTTTCTTAGGTGGACTTGAGAAGACCTGTTCTAGTAAGAAATCAGTCACGAAAGGTTACATTTTCTCCCATGGCTTGTTAAATCTAAGTTGAAAGCTTACTATTACTCGTTTGTTGTTAAAAATTTATATATATTGAAATTGCTGCGCATGTCTCTGGCTACAAAAAAAAATTAATTTGTAAGTGATTGCAGTCGGAAAAAATGGAATTAACTCATAAAGATATGTAGAGTGTAAAAATATTTTTCAATGTACTAAATAAGAAAGTAAACAATATCAATAAAGTAGCATATCCAGATAATTTTTATTAAAAAACATTGCAAAAATGCGATATGTTTTGAACAAAAAGTAATATTTCCCAGCTCTGCCCAGTAAAAAAACCTGCTGAATATTGTAGGTACAGGTATTATGTTTCATATTTAAACAAAATTGGCTGCCCAACCTGCTCTTCCGTGTTTAAACAAATTTTTAAAGAAAAAAACTATAATCGTCAAAAAACTACTGCAAACAGCAATTGAAAAAAATCTCGTGTATTGTTGCATAGTACTAATCAAATCTATAAAATCATGTTTTAATGTACAACATATGTCAAATTAAACTTTAAATTAAAACTCAATCTAAATGCAAATGTTAATGCATAAGTATTAGATACAAAATTCGTATTTAATACTAAACTATAGTATGACTATAAACATTTTCAGACTACAGCTGTCCTGTTGCTGATGCCATAAAAAGAAACACATTGTATGAAGCTGTGAGACACAATTTTAATATTGGCACATCTAAAGTCTATGTAATTGTTAAAAAGTTAATGTCTAGAAAGAGTTCAATAACATTGATTAAGTTTTGAGTAAGCAGATTAATAAAAAAAATTTTAATGTCAGTTTGTCTTAGTTATACGCTTGGATAAGGTGTTTTGAATTTTGCGTGCACCTTGGTTATAAACTAACCATCAATAAATGGCAGGTTCGCAGTTTATGTTAAGAAAAGAGAATATGCAGGAAGGTTTTAAAACAAAGTTGGGTTTGATAGTTGATAAGCCGAACCTGGATATGGAAGTACGAATGATGGAAACACCGCTAGACGGTTTTCCGAAAATGCCGCAACTTCTGCCACCACAACTGAAGTTGACGAAAATCTGATTAATCGATTTTAAGTTATATTACAAGTCTATTATCTGGTTTTAAAATAAATGTTGAAAAATTCCATTAATATTCATTGGATACTGCAAAACAGTTTGTGCAGCTTTATGGCTGGTATTATATGCTGACAGCAGTTCATAAGCTGTTGATTAATGGTTCTACAATAATAGCACACTCACTACTACTAATCGGTCAGATGTCCAAAGATGCCCAAGAATCTTGTAATAAATAAATGAAATAATTTTGTGAAAACTTCGCACTAAAATCATTTCGAACTAAAACAATACACGGTGTATTTTCAAGATTCTTGGTAAACTTGGACCCGTATATATCCAGTTATTGAAAAGTACCCGCACTATCCACTAAGGCTATGTCAAAATAAGTTTTTACTTTGCTACAACCTCCAAATGTAGATATAACCGAAAATTTTTCACCATATAATGATTCAAGCTCCAAGTCTAAGACACTAAAAAATACAAATAAATCCTACACTTATATTGAAAATGATTTTCTTTTATAATCTTTTTATGAAACAATAAATAATAGTCCAACATTAAGTTAAACCATGCCCCGTTATGTTGGGAGTGCCACAGGGTTGGTCGTTTGATCCAGTTCTATTCTTTATTTTTATAAATTCTTTGATTTGGTCAATATATTACTGCAATGCAATGTTATTTGTCGATGATCTGCAAATTTACATACGGTTTCGTCCCGAAACTGTTAAAACTTTTGTGAACCCTAAGGGTTGTTTTTTTGTCAACTTTGTTTAGTTACAGAATATTCGTTAGTAAGGTAGTTAGACATTTGATGGCCCTAAAAAGAATCAGTGAGCTCAACTCTTTTTTGACTAAAGTTTCCAGCAAACGTGACTGCCTGGATGCCTTAGAGATGTCTTCTCTTGCCTGCTGTTATGGCACCAGACTGATCAGGAGGAAAACTACAACGCTCTGAGGCGTTAGAGCTAGTTGTTGTGATTTTTCCTAATATCTCCTGGTGTAACGCCAGAGACGTTGGTGTCCAAAGCACCTTTTTTTCACAGAGCTCCTTCGTTTTGGTGATCTAAAGTTGGAATATTAGTTCTTGACGCTTTCCTATTGGATACTGTGCCAGTTGCTTAATTTAATTTCTCGTTTATAGATTAACTGTTAGGTTCACCTCTCATAGACCTCAGAGGTAATCGGTGATTCTTGGTTGAATGTTTAGAGTTAAGAGAGGAATGCAGGGTCATCGGTGGCCGGGGTTCCCAGTCTTATGACGAACCTCTCCGCTTGTAACGTCTGCCAGTAAATGATTGACTTGATTTAATAGTAACCGGTTTCATATAGTCTCTGAGTGGATGAATTGTTGTCAGAAATAGTTGTAAGAATATACTTGTTAGCCAAGTAGTTTAACGTTAGATGGCTCCAAAAATAACCAGTGAGATTGATGGTTAAAAAGGGAACGTACAGTCTTACGATATCCCTTAAAAGGGCCAGTGGTGATACTTCTAGGCACTCATTACTATTATTCTCAATGATAAAGAGCTGGCTGCGGGTAGTTGGTTCTTACCTTTGGAGTCTCTGCGTATGGAAATCCTGCTAGAGGGGGGTACATCCCTGGCCAAAGAATATCTCGTCTTCGGGTCGTTTCTCAGATAACCAATAGCTTACCGTTGGTTAGAAAAAAGGATCGGAAGACGGTACCCTGAAGCAATAGAGCAGATTGTTCTCTGGATGGATGTCCCCTGGTATTACGTTGGAGACGTTGGCATTCAGAACGCTTATTTTTTCATGGTACTTGGTAATCCTGGTGGTTCAGGGTAAAATTTTGACGTAAGTCGCTTGTCTATTAGAGAAGAGTGTCGTTGGTAGCCGGGATAAGTGTGTCTTACAACCAAGAGTTCTCGTGCAAGCGCACAACGATTTTACTGTCTCTCTCTCTCTCTCTCTCTCTCTCTCTCTCTCTGACCAGGCCGGCAGTGGAAGGAGAGCTCCCCCTACCTCAACCTTTCACTCAAGCTCCCCTCACTTTAACAGCTTAAGTATAATCTTATACCATAGAGGGGTATGATCGTCTTTGGTTGAGCGAACTATGTCTTTTACCCGTGCACAGAATCTGGTAAAATATGTTATCGATTCTTGATCACTGCATTTTTTTTTTTTTTACTGTTATTATTTATCCTGGTGTCCTTTTTTATAACAGTCGTTTTATTTATAAGCTAATTTTTTGGAAAGCATCACATTTGTTGTTGAAAAATTGTTGTTTAATTGTATAATTTCGGTGTATGATTTAAATAATGTTATGATCAACATAAAACAGATTTTTGGTATGGTAAGTTTATAATAATATTTTTTACTTGTAAATAAACTCACTCTTCAAGTAAAAAAATGTGTTCACCATGTATTTACATGCTTGTGCAGAGAATAATATGATACTGTTTCTACACCACTTTGCGGTTAGTATGTCGGTGTTTTTTTTTTTTTCAAATTAAAATCCCTCGAAAATACTTAAATAAAAGAAACTAGATAGTGAGACTAGAATTTAATGAAACGTAATGGAAATTATTCTTAGCGGTATTAAAATAGCTATAATTTTTCTGTATCGTGTCTGTTATATTATAGTTTAATTATTTATTTTAATGCTCGTTTTAATGCAATTAGTGAATACAGAAGAGAGCAAGTAGTCACGTACA